CTTTCACGCGCAGCTGGAGAGCGGGAGCGGGACGGCGACCGGGAACGGGAGAGCAGCTTCCGCTTCCGGGACCGGCGGTGGCTGGTGAGAGCGCGCTGCGGGACTCCGGAGTCGGCGGGCTCGCCTCCGCGGACAAGCCGGAGAACCTCGTCACGGCGGCGAAGAAGGAACCCGTCATCCAGTTCCAGAAGAGTCCGCTCATGTTCGGGGAGGAGCTGGAGTTCTGGAACGACAAGGTGAGGCAGGGGTGAAGTAGGGAGAGTGATAGAACGCGCGGCGGGGGGGAGGAAGTAGGGAGAGTGATAGTAGACGCGCGCGGCGGCGGGAGGAAGTAGCGAGATGATAGCTAACGCGCGGCCGGGCTGGCAGGAAGTTTTAGGGAGAGTGATAGAACGCGCGGCGGCGGGGGAGGAAGTAGCGAGAGTGATAGAACGCGCGGCGGGGAGAAGAGTAGCGAGAGTGCGATTAGAACGCGCGACGGGAGCCCGAGATAGTAGCGAGAGTGATAGAACCGCGCGGCGCGCGGGGAGGAAAGTAGCAGAGAGTGATAGAACGCTGCTGGCGGCGGGCGGAAGGACAGTAGGAGACGTGATAGAACGCGCTGGCGGCGGGGGAGGAAGTAGCGAGAGCGATAGAAGCGCCCGCGGCGGGGGGAGGCAAGTAGCCGAGAGTGATAGAACGCACGGCTGGTGGGAGAAGTAGTGAAGAGTTGAATAGAACGGCGCGGCGGCGGAGCGAGATAGGCAGAGCTGATAGAACGCGCGGCAGGTGGCAGGAAAGTTAGGGAGAGTGATAGACGTGCGGTGAGGTGGAGGGAAGTAGCGAGGAGTTGATAGATAACGCACGGGGTGTGGGGAGCGAAGTACGCGAGGAGTGCTAGAACGCGCGCCAGGGGAGGACAGATAGCTCGCACGACGTGATAGAACGTGCGCGCTCGGGGGGGTAGGAAGTACGCCGCAGAGTGTATAGACACGCGCGGCGGGGTGAGGACAGTAGGCGAGAGTGATATTAACGCGCGGCGGCGGGGGAGGAACAGCTAGCGAGAGTGATAGAACGCGCGGCGGGGAGGAAGTAGCGCAGAGTGATTAGAACGCGCGGCACGGGGTGGAGAGGAAGTAGGGAAGTGATAGACCGGCGAGGCGCGTGCAGGACTAACATAGGCTGCGAGAGTTATTAGAACGCGCGGCGGGACCGCCGGGGAGGAAGTAGGAGGAGTGATAGAACGCGCGGCGGGGAGCGAAGTAGCTGGCAGAGTGATTAGAAACGCCCGCGCGGCGGGGGAGGATAGTACGGGAGAGTGATCTAGAACGCTGCTGGCGGCAGGGAGCGAAGTTAGGAGAGTGATAGAACGCGCTTCGGGGGGGGAGGAACATTAGGAGAGCTGATTACGGAACGCGCGGCGGGGCCGAGGAAGTAGGGAGAGTGATAGAACGCACGGCGGGGGGAGAAGTAGCTGGAGAGTGACTAGACACGCGCGGCAGGCCGTGAGGCAAGTAGCAAAGTGATTTAGAAACGCGCGGCGGCAACCTACTCCCTTGCTGCGGACGATCGAGGGGCAATATGTGGGTGGTGCCAGGGTGACCCTATCTCATCCCATCTCTACCCTATCTCATCCTGTCCAATTCCATCTCATCCCATCTCATCCTGTCCATTCCCATCTCAACCCATCTCACTCATCTTCCATCCTGCTCCCATCCCATCTCATCCATCTCATCACTTCCCATCCCCTATCATCCCATCTCATCCATGCCACCGCCGGTCCCGGAAGCGGAAGCTGCTCTCCCGTTCCCGGTCGCCGTCCCGCTCCCGCTCTCCAGCTGTGGGTGAAAGAGAGAAGGACGTTAATTAGTCATGTCCCGATGATCGATTACAATCGAAAGTCAGTCGTTTGCAGCAACCGACTAAGCGCTCGATTATGAAAAGAAATAATCGATTATCCAGTTTTTTGTGTGGTAATTTTTGTTATTTTATTTAAAAAATAAAATTTGAAAAAATTTATGAAATGACTCTTTTTCTCATTTTTTGTTTTTGTTACTTCACAGCTTGGAGACAGTAAATGTAACCTACACCAAACATAAGCAAGCATAATAATGTTACATAGCTTTTAGAATATTGTATTATAAAAACTATTGTATTATATGATATATTTCAATATCCGGTAGCCGCGATCAATAATATTCAACCGATTATCTTCGATCATCGATCGGTTGGGTGCAACCGGTGACCGATGAAATTCCAACCGATTCCCATCACTAGCGTTAATCGTTCGAACTTCCCCCATCCCGTTCAATTCTCGACGGCCGGCGACGTAGCTCCCGTGCGCGAGAGAGCAGTGATCGCGCGAACCTGCCACGCTGACACCATATGATATAGAGTCAAACCTATGTCTGACAGGCACCTAAACGTCACTATTTCGAATATTTCCGAACTCTTATTAAATTTTCCTTTGCATAGACAATTTAATTTGGACAGTAATTACTAGCTTAAACTCAGTAGTTACTATATACAACTTTAATATATACAAAACCATATTATATATACATATAATATAAATGTTTATAGCTGTTCTGCTGTTTATACATGAGAAATGAAACGACTTGCGGGGAATATAGATTACTTAATTGGGTATGCGGACATTATTTAGCTGTTATAGTAGGTGGTACGGTAAAACCCCAATTTTACGCGCCCCGATTTAACGCGATGGGTCATTGGACCCCCTTTTTTGCTCTTATATAGCCACGTATATATAACCCCGATATAGTGCGACCCCACTTTTTTCGCGATGACATTTTATGGACCCCAACCATCGCGTTATAATGGGGCTACACTGTATCACTATTCTGCTGCTGATCAGCTGTTTCTCTGTCTCACCTGCGCGAGTGCGCGAGCCGCCAAGATTCCTCAGGGAGGAGTAGCTGTTGAACATGTCCTCGGAAAACATGGCCGAATCAGCGTCGATGATGACGCTCGGGTGGTCACCCCCGATGCCAGCGTCCAGCAGCGATATGAGATCCTCTGTAAACGCGGAAGAAAATCACAGGTAAAAAGTTGCAATGTTAGTAATTTCATACTTTTTAATAATCTTATGTTAATATATATATATGATATATATATATATATATATATGTATAAGATATCATAATATAATACTATGATATTTTAATAATTATTTAATCATACGTAGCATTTTTTGATCAATGGTGGGGTTGTCTTGCCTGTGTTCTGACTACACATTAATTCCACTGCATTTTTCCCTATGAGATGTGTACGCACGTGCCATATAAAAAAAACATTGCACCTACTAGCTACGCACACACTGCCTAGCGTGTACTGTAGAGCACATTCCTACGGCGCAGTTGGTACATGTACGTCTGTGTAGTAGGAATGTGCGCTACAGGACGTTGCACATAGCGTCCCTTGCACCTACTAGCTACGCACACACTGTCTAGCGCAGTGGTTCTTAACCTTTTTTGAGTCATGAACCCCTTTGAGAATCTGGTGAAAGCTACGGACACCTCCCCAGAAAATATACATAAGCACATAAACACAAAATTTTTCATGCGCCTGGTTCACGGACCCCCTGAAGATCATCCCCGAACCCCAAAGGGGTCCATGGACAACAGGTTAAGAACCCCTGGTCTAGCGTGTACTGTAGAGCACACCCCCACTGCGCAGACGTGCGCACACCGAGTGTCGCGCGTACGTACCTGGCATGTAGGCATCTTGAGAGTCTTCACCATCATCCCCATCCTCATCATCACGACTCAGCAGATTGTTCACGGCTAGATTCACGTCCAGGTTCTGAAGCATACACAACATCAGTATGCAGTGTATACACCGTACACAGACATGTGTAAGATATACTACATGCAAGGTAGACTGATTTATTATAATTGATTTTTAATATATTTAATATAATGTTGATATAATTTTTGATGTAGAAATATGACAATTATTGTATTTTTAAACGATACTGTAACGAAACGCTTGCTATTCGGGGCTTGAAATTTGATTGAACGGAAATTTACACATAAAAGCTGGTGGGACGGTTCAAATTTTGCCTCTTACTATTTGGTATTTGTGCATGGCAAGCATAATCTGGCTAAGAAACATACCGTGCGTTGAAGTTCTCGTATGATGAGGTTTCTCGACTTTCCCTGCAGCACGACTTGCGCCTGAAATAAAATGACAATTTTATGATGCCTGACCGAGACACCTGATTATCCAAAACCAATGCTACCGAATTTGTAGGCAAAAATATGCACTCCACAGAAAAACATATTTACACACAGCTTTGTACGCTTGCATGCACATGCGTATCTAACTCATAAAGTAGCACATAAACGACCTCGTATTGAATTTCCCACCTAAAATTTCACCTACACGTCGGGCCCCTTCTAGCAAACTGTCATAAAAATTAGGAGCATCATGAGTTGACAACGACACAACAATTCTCGTAACTTTTCCCTCGCAGAAGTTATAACATTGCAGATTCGTGACGATAATAACTTTTGCAATCTTCTTATACGACATTTACGTTTATTATACTAATTAAATGGCACCACATTAAAAGGGAATTAAGTCGAAAATATGCACAGACCACCGGGAGTGACGATCGCACACGTAAACAACGTTTGCTTATATTGCTGGAAACGGTGGGTCCGCATCGACGTAAGTAAGCTCAATAACCTGAAACCGGTTCCAATTCGTGCCGGACCACTGGCCCTGAACCACCAGGTGCAAAATTACACCAATCAAACCCTTACATAGATGATATACATATATAAAATATGATACTACAATGATACAATCATAATAATATTATTATTATTATTTATATTATTACAATTATTATCATATATCATTATTATACGATATTACATACATTATGTACGTCAATAATTCATAGCAACGCAGGGTATTAGCCAGCAATGAGTATTGTGGGAGTGCAGAAAAAATATTTGGGAGTGCAATTTTTTTGTACGTGTGTCTTTAGATCAATATTTTAGGTCGTGCTACACATTTTGGGCCGTGCAGTTTCAAAACTGACCGTGCAATCAAGGCCGCACAGCTTGCTGGCTAATACTGTGCAGCAGTGTCTACCTCAGAGATGCTAACACATATTTGAAGCAATCTGTAGTTTCTGGCCATCAAATTAGTCGTTCGAGGGTCACGTAGTGACCCGAGTTTTCTAGGGGGGTACGACATGCCCCCCGGAAAAAATTTTGATTCTGAGATGCAATTTCCTGCATTCTGAGGGTCAAAAATGACAATAAATTGACAAAAAATAACAATAATTAAAAAAAAAATATATATATTTCGATCACAGTGAAATTCGTAGTTTGATACAAACTGGTCGTAGTGGTGCAAAAGGAATAGAAATTCGTATAAAATACGAATAAATCGTAGTGGTTGGCATCTCTGCTACCTGATTGATGAGTTCCTCGGGAACCATGGGAGCCGGGATGACAGGCCGCTGTCCGACAATGACCCCTGACCCCCGACCTCTGCTAGCCGCGCGGATCACTCGGCCGCGGGTCCTCTGCGGCTGCCGCGCCACGGCACTAGCTGTCGTCGTCGTGGGCGTCGTCGTTCGCGACGTGCCGCCATTCAGGTTCAGCCTTCTATTGCGCAATCGACGATTACGCGATGGTTAGGACGAATATTTTTTTTATATCTTTTTTTAAATTTACATAAGATCCTATGTTGATAATGATATATAATAATATATGGATTGTCGTTAGTAATAGAAAATACTTTAGGCAAAATTATAGACAATATAACATAATTATTTTTCATACCATCGGTCAATATTTTGATAAAATAACGAAATGAAAAGCTGGACAAAACATGTGCCCATAGATTAGATGAAGGGACATTCTTACAGGTAAAAATAATTCAAACATAGTCTACAGTCCAGTGCTGATATCTTACCTGAGAGGATGACCAATTATTTCTTCAAACACTAGTATCTCAGGTGCAGCAGCAGTACCATCGGTATCTAGCCGCATCGGGGCTGCTCCGCCACCTTTCGTAGGAGCCACCCTAGATAAAAGTATATAGTGTATAAAGCTTCTGTACTTTTCTAAAAGTCAATAGTTACTTTTAGCGGTTTTCACCGGCGAATACGAGCTATTCCTCATTCGTAAGTTTACCATGTCAGGATTATCAACATGTAGCTACTTAGACAAGAAAAATAGTTACAAGTAACACTCACCCTTTGCTATTGTCTGTCTTAGTCAGATCTAACCGGTCAGTCAGCAGTGCATACGAGACCCTACACAAGCGGCCATCCTATATGAAGACAATATATTTCATCAGACATCAGTTGCGATTAGAAGGGTTTGGGGGGTTGGAATTGATGATATGTGACGTGTGTTAGATGAAAGTCATTGCACGTATACACGTGTGTAGGCGTTCATGACCATGGCTTCGTGTGTGGTGTGCGTGCGTGTGCGTGTGCATTTACCTGCATCTCTGTGCACACGTCTGAACACGTGTGTATGCACCAGCACATACGTATTTACGCATCTGTACATGTATAAGAATGCGTGTCTGCGTAATAACAATCAGACCTTAAACGTGTTAAAAATGTTAAAATACATAAACTTACATAAATGCGAAAGTTCAACGGCTTTACTCGAAATTCTTAACAAACAACGAATTTTCTGTACAACCATACCTCCAATAGCAAGGCAATGTGACTAGGCCCCACAACACACTGGACCACGGAAACTCCTTGCAGTCTTGTGAAGACTGGGGGCGTCGCGTAGCCATGACGACTAACCTTATCCGACACTTCTCTTAGTCTGAAACACATTTACAAAATGGTAATAGATGAAATGACAGTGTCAATGACACTGTAGCTCACCAAAAAAAGGGACACAAATGAGTGAGTAAGAAGAATCAGTCTAATTGAGCAACCCATGCTTAATAGTATTGTATAAGCTATATAAGCCAAAGACAGCATTTCCATGGAGCGGTGTCAAGCTCTTTATTAGCATTCAAAAGATGGCTATACATGGCATGCTTTCCAGCCCATGTGATCACCGTTTACGCCTCCGCACTAATAATTGTGGCGTATCACTACGCTAGTGCTTGTGAACGCATATCACCACATCCCCCTCTCTTTACAATAAGGAATCAAAACTGAATTAAACCAAAACTATCTCAATCTCAACTACACTGCAAACAGTGTTTTCTTTTCACTCATCTTTGAATCTCATGGGTATCTTTACCACCCGACCCGACCGAGTGATAGTCCCCTGAACACCCCCTGATGAACCAATGTTAACGCGTGTATCGCGTGGTCTGTTCACATCTGTCTCTGCAACATTGTTATTGGGACTCGAAGCTTTCTCAGCCTCGTGATCCATCACGACTGGTCGCGAATCTCGACTCTCTACTGTCGGCTTGGGCGTCTCACGTATTTGAACCCGATTACCGTCGAACTGGTTACCCCTCCCATTTCCACAACGTAATGACCGATCGTTCTCGTTGCACTGCTTCACGTTCCTGCACACACGAGATTTTCTTGTCCTTGTTCAGTACCCGAACGTTCTGTCCCTCGATGAGCGGTGCCTGCTCGCGGTATGCTCGCGTG